CATTTTTAAAATGTTCTATGGACATCTTTAGAAGTTTGGTGCTGTATGGGATTGATAATATAGAAAGTTACGCAATTCTATTCTATAAATACAATTTTTTTGTTTTAAAAACAAATTCTCTGTTTTAAAAGCACAAATTCTCTACCTTAAAAATGTGTTGAGATACCAGAAACTTTCCGATCGACTCAGAAACAATCGGACTGTCATAATAACCCATCTAAGAATATCTAGGGATAAACGGAATAATTCCGATCGGAATCCACTCCGAACATTTTCATAATAAATGCCTTGGAATTCTGAAAAGGGGCCATTCCAGATTTTTCCAGTATATACGTATGACACGTACAACACCTACGATAATCGATTCTGTCCCTGGAAAATTTCACAACCTGAGAAGTGACCACTTTTCTGTATTAATGCTCGCAGTCCATGCACGATTAATGATACAACCATACGACTAAAGCCTAAGGATCTGAATACAAAAATTGTCGTAACATTTACTTAGAAACTTAATTTCTAGATGTAAGTAACGCATAAATTTTGGCATATGGCATATGACTTATTAAACCGTCTCTTAAAATATTTTTCCGGCTACAATTGCGTTAGAAAATTAATCGCGTATACGAATATGCCACTTAGCGCGTGCTCTCTGAAGAGAGAAACTTTTGAGTTAAGACTTTTAAATATTCAGATATCCGAAATCGATTCTGATCCGAGAACTCAAAACCGTATTATTCGGATCCGCGGATCTGAATTTGGATCCGGATCTAAATTCAGATTCGGATCTAAATTTGACTTCGGATTCATGTCCAGAAAGAAAGAAAATATCAAAGTATTTAATAAATTTTAACATACATTACTTTTTAAATAAAAATTCAATTTTGATTTAGATGTATAATTGAAGAAAAATGAAATTAAAAAATATAAATATAGATTCACACAGAATTATACAAACACTTAAAATCCAAATAGACCGTTTAAGGCATTTGTTTCTATAAGTTGTGTTTCTCACATATATATCCTATGAGATTTAATATTGTTTATAAATATAAATGTTTAGAACAGACTCTCAGTCTTAAAATAGTAATAACAAAGATGTACAAGGTTAATAAGAGAAATATTTGTATTTCATTTTTACACTCAGATTAAATAAGTGTATAATATAATATACACTTTAATATACACTTAGTCCGCACTAATGCAACAAAATTCGCTATAAATTTGCTACGAATTCGGATCCAAATCTGAGAACCGGATCTGGATTCGAGTTTTACTATTCGGATTTTAGACATTCGGATATCTTAGAAAATTCGAATTTCCGAATAACTCGAATTTGAAGCATCACATTTATTCGTAATTTGGATAAACGGATATCCGAATAGCTTTAAATCCAAATCAATCTTAAAGCTTTACTTTTGAGGCAAACGTTCACACGCATAAATGACGCATATCTGTCTGCACGAACACTAGTCCGTACTGAAGATAGTTGAAATGTGGCAACAGCATGTTCTTGTCTCGCTACTCGGCGTGCGAGAAGGAGAATTCTACCAAATCACAAATTTAAACTCTAATTCAGAAACAGCACCACTAAGCCTCCCCATTTCTTTATGAGTTTTCTATGATATTTCTACATTTATTAATTTTTTTAATCTGTAGAAGATTTTCGCTGCAAAGTACTTCGGCAAGGCTTGGTATAGGAGTTTACATGTTAAAAGCTGAAACTTTGAAGATTATTATCTTCATTTCAGCATCACTAGGATCTTTGAAATTTTCACCATATATAGATAAAATTATTTTAAACATAATAGATTTAAAAAAAATTCTAAATTTCAAAAAAATCTGCAGAAACTCAATTTCTCAGAGAAATACCTTAATAAGTTGTACGGCAATAAGTTGTATGTCATACGTGAAAGCTTATGCGTTACTTACGTCTACAACTTAAGTCTAATTGTAAGTAAGTATTACAATTCTTATGCTCAGTCCTAAGTTCGCTTACAATCATATTTAACATAAAGACAAAATAATCTGAATTTTCGGAAATTTTGAATAAGTATTATAAATACAGTGGATGTGAAAGAAATTTTTTTAACAGTATGCATTATTCGAGAGAAGTAATGAGAGATATAAGAAGCATTGGTTATATTTTAATCCCAAGCAGCGTTTGCAAAGCGCTAAAAAAGCGATCGTATGCGCTTTTCTAGCGCTTCGTTAAGCGCTGTGTGTTACTTGAGATGTTTTAATAAAATGGAGCAAATATAGTAAACATTAGGATTGACGATTATCTGTTTATCCGGGTAGCGGGATATCCAAGATAGAAATATCCGATTGAAGCGGATTTCGGATCCGAATCTGATTGAAACTGTTTAGATATCCGAACCATTAAACTTTAATGATTTAACCATTTATTATTCGGATTTCGAATCTCTCAATATCTTTCTCTATATATACAGGGTGTATATATATATATAAAGTGTGAAAAAAGGGCGAAAACCAATGAGACCAAGAAATAGAGAAGCAAAAAAGCGAGAGAAAAATTTTATGTATTTATTTTATTTATATATCTGTTAATATAGGCCAAATATACTTTTACATATTAATATAATTTTAATTAACTAAACAAATCATGTTTTTATTAGTATTAATAAAGTGCAATAGTTATATATAGTTTGTGAAAAATAAGGGGGTGTCGCTTTAGAAGACCCATGTATCGGCGTACTTTCCTCTAATGAAGTCTGTAATTTAATCAGAAACTGGATTTATGAAATAATGAATTTGAAAGATTGAATCCGGATAGATTCGAATATACTCTGCGCAGAATATTGTACTTCAATATTTGGATATAGAATCTGAAAAATATCATTATCCGGATATTCGGATACACGGATATTTACAGATCCGAACAAAATTGTCAATCCTAGTAAACATATTATATATGTATGATATATGATATTTATAATTTATTATTTTACATTTAAATATTGTTTAGAATCGTAAATCATTTCCGTTTCTATTTTAGTATTTTTCTCCCACATCTCTATGGAAAAGATGGTGGCAATAAGGTGAGAATCTTGGCGTGGAGTATGAGAAAACGTAAATATTATTTAGCAACTCTATTAGGCTAACATTATGACATTTCAAATAAATTTCTTTTTCTTTAAAAGTTTCATAAATGACATTGAACAAAAAGCAATTGCTCTGAGTATTTTTATTATATTTTTCAGAGATTATATGGTCTAGAATAAACTCATACTACTAGGTGAAACTTATGTAAAATTTAAAAAATGATTTTTTATGGATTTATTTAAATGGATTTATTTAAAAAATGGACATATATAAAATGGACTTATATAAAATAATAAATTATAAATATCACGTATCATATGATATGTTTACTATGTTTTAATACTCCATTTTATAACATTAAAATATAAAAAAAATTCAATAAAGAATAACGGTAATTAAATAAATTAATAATATAATATAGAGCTACGAACCACTTAAGTTATTATGTAAGTAAAAATATTTATATCAACAATCTGAATTTTGTAATAGACATTTTGACAATAATGATTTTAACAAAGTTACTGGTAATTACGCAAGATGTTCACAAATTAATATAAAAATAGTAGTAGTTACCGATAACTTTTTAAAAATTATTTAACATTGAAAATGACCCAATAAGGGTCGAAATATCCGTTACAAAATTTAAATTGTTGATATAAATATTTTTACTCACATAATAACTTGAATGGTTCATAGCACTACATTATATTACAATATTAATTTATTAAAATATAACCAATGCTTCTTACAACTCATCGTATTATATATACTGTTAAAAAAATGTCTTTCATATCCATGTATTTATTTATTTATTTAAAATTTCCGAAAGTTCAGATTATTTTGTCTTTATGTCAAATATGATCGTAAGCAAACTTAAGCTTTAGTCATATTGTTAATCATGCATGGACTGGGAGCATTAATATAGAAAGGTAGTCACTTCTCAATTTGTGAAAATTTCCGAGGGACAGCATCGATTACCGTGAGTGTATATATGTACTATATGTAAAGCATTTTGTCCATTAAATTGCTTTTCACAATGTCTTCATTTAAATAATATTACATTAAAATTAGCAGTATAAGTATACATTAATGTACGTACATATATAATAACCTTTAAAAAACAAAAAATATACAGGGTTGGCTATATTCGACGGAAAGATGTTTTTTTTTCAATCATGGGAAAAAAACACATTTTTTGCTGTTCATTTTAAAAATCATTTAATAGGGTTCAAGGTGTTTCCGTCGAATATGACCAACCCTGTACACCAAGTGCACAAAAAAGGTATCAAATATTACATTCTTTTTAATAAAATGCGGATACGAAATAAATGCAATTAAATTAAAGTATTTCATAATACGCAAAACGTATAAGATAGATTGAAAGATAGATTTTAATAGATAGATTGACTAAAATGATCAATTGGATTATAATGAAGAAAAAACTTGTGTGCCTGAGTATATTTTGCAGATATGCACAATATATGAAAACAGTAATTCAACAAAGAAAATATGTTAATAATTGCTTACTAATCTTCTAAATTCGTTATCAAAAACATTTATATCTAAATACTTAGATACAGAAATATTAAAGATAACGAATTTACAAGAGTAAGCAATTAACGTCTCTTCTTGTTGAGATCGTTTTTATATTGAATATTTACAAAATATTGTATGTAATAATCTTTTTATTAATTCATATTGCAAATAATTTCCGTACAAAACATATTGGTCCTAGAAAATTGCGTTTTAATATATTGGGTGGATCCATATAGTCGTTCGGTTTTTGTTAGTAGTGCAAATTTTTTCCAAATATCTCCGGTTCTGGTTGCTTAATCGGGCAATCCAAATATGTTTTGGAAAGGTGACAGTCCGCTCTTTTTATCTGTCAAATTTGGTTTCATTGGCATTAGTTTTATTTGTGTTACAAGCCTGTGAACATGTCGGAGAATAAGGTGCATTTTCGGCATATTTTACTTTATTACTTCAAGAAAGGCAAGCGAGCTGCGGAGGCCCACCGAAAGATATGCGGCGTATACGGGGACGATGCCTTAACAGAACGTGCCGCTCAGAAATGGTTTGCCAAATTTCGTTCCGGAGATATGAGTCTTGAAGATGGATCCCGCAGCGGTCGGCCCACAGAAGTTGATTCGAATGATATCAAGGCACTGGTTGAGCAAGACCGGACGCTAAAGCGAGAGATTGCGGAGACACTTAAAATAGATTATGGAACCATTCAAAGACATTTGCAACAGCTTGGCTACGTGTCCCGCCTCGATGTTTGGGTGCCGCACAAGCTGACCGAGGAGAATCTGGCCAACCGCATGTCCATCTGCAATTCACTTCTAAAGCGGCACGAAAGCGACCCGTTTCTCAAACGAATAGTGACTGGCGACGAAAAGTGGATCATCTACGACAACATAGTGCGCAAGAGATCATGGGGAATCGCTGGCGAGCCGCCGAATGTCACCCCGAAGGCCGGCCTGCATCCGAAGAAGATTTTGCTATCCATATGGTGGGATCATCGTGGTGTGCTGTTTTACGAGCTGCTTCCTCAGGGAAAAACGATTGATTCGAAGGTCTACTGCACGCAGCTAACGAAATTGAATCAAGCATTGCGACAGAAACGTCCAGAACTGGTCAATCGCAAAGGTGTCATATTCCACCATGACAACGCCAGACCCCACACCGCAATAATCACTCAGCAAAAACTCCCAAACTCCCTCAACGGGAAATCGTTCGCTGATCAGACAGCTGTAAAAACGTACCTCGACCGATTTTTCGCCTCTAAGCCTCAGACCTTCTATGAGAGCGGAATAATGAAATTGTTGGAAAGATGGCAAGAAGTCATCAACAAAAACGGAGAATATATCATTGATTAAAATTTATTCTTTGTGAAAAAAACTTGTTTCATTTTAGCCTTCAAAAACCGAACGACTATATGGATCCACCCAATAATTTGGGCACGCCAAGTTTTTTCTTCACTATAATCCAATTGACCATTTTAGTCAATTTCAATCTTATATATCTTATATATCTTATATATCTTACGTTATGAAATAATTGGCTAATTGCATTTATGTCGTATCCGTTTTTTTATTAAAAGGAATGTAATATTCAATTATTATACATTTGGTATGTATCTTTTTTTATAAAGATTTATTTCAAGTATGTTTATTAGACTTCATTTTCTTGTTTATTAGACTGTTTTCACGTATTAAAATCATTGTAGCAGTTTTGGCATTATATGCAGAAACACTCTGCATATGCGTATATATACATACAGAGTGTCCGGTAAGTTTTGACAAAGCGCAAAGTGTGTAGATAAAACGGACTAAACTGAGTCAAAAAGTTCTGTACCATTTTTGCAATTTTTGCAATTAACAAATAGTTAAGATATTAATTATTAAAAATCACTGAATATTAGTATTCAATAATTTTTTACTCAAATACTATCAACTTTACAAAAAAAACAGCAAGATATAAAATTGTTTACTTTCTTCTCATAAAGCTCAGAGAGTTTTTTTAAAAATCACCGAATATTAGTTTTCAATAATTTTTCCTCAAATACTATTAACTTTACAGAAAAATTGCAAGACATACAAATTGTTTACTTTCTTCTTATAGAACTCTAAGAATTCTTTCAGAATTTTTTATCAACTTTTTAATACTGTATTTTCTTATTGAAAACTATTTTTCCAACATGAGAAAATACGATATTATAAAATTCTGAAAAAATTCTGAAAGAATTCTTAGAGTTCTATAAGAAGAAAGTAAACAATTTGTATGTCTTGCAATTTTTCTGTAAAGTTAATAGTATTTGAGGAAAAATTATTGAAAACTAATATTCGGTGATTTTTAATAATTAATATCTTGTTAACTATTGTGAAAATTGTAAAATGGTAGAGAACTTTTCAACTCAGTTTAGATCCTATGTGAGAGTTTTATCATTACTTATCAAACACACACATATATATGTATATATATATATATATATATATATATATATATATATATTTGGTGATTCACAAATATATATAATTATATATGAAACATGTCCAATGTCCATATATGTTCAATACATCTTTCTTTTGTAAAATTACCGTTTAGTATTAAAAATAATAATGTATAAGAAAACATCAAAAATAATTAAAAAGATGATTTTCAAATTGTTTTACAAAAGAAGGTTATTATTATCTCAAAAGTTATTATTGTCTTACAAGGAAAGATATCCAGTTTTAGTTTTAAAAAAGTAATGGTTAAAAGTCATAGTATTCTACTTCCTAACTAAAATGAGTATGGAAAGGAGGATATTAAAAAAGTCCGATTTTGGTCCTCTTGCGAAACCTTAGTTAACTACAAAAAGTTGTTGTTGGGATCCATATTAAATAGTAAAAATAGTTAATATCTCAGAAATGCGGGGAAAGTAGATTTTTTTTGTTATATGTGTTTCGTTTTGTAAGTCGAATTTTTATATATCACGTTAGAACTTATCATTTGGATATATTGTAAAATTGGATATATTGTAGAATTGGATACATTGTAAAAGTTTCTTATGATAATAGGTACTTAGAAGTTTTAAAGGTTGCTCATCACGATTCTGTTATTAAACATAGCAAATTATGAAAAGTGGGAATCTAAAATGACGCCTTCGACATTCAGTTTTATACGTAAAGTTGCAATAATCGAATTTTTTATCAAAATGAATCTGAGCATGCTGTGTAAGACAAGTTGAATATGAATCTGTTATTAAGTGTACAAATAAGTTTCCGCCGTTTTTAATCAAAAATTAAGCATTTACTGTGAAAGAATGATACATAATGTTTTATTGATGTAAGTCAAAATGTAAGTGCAAGTTCTTTTTGCGTTTGGCACGAATCTTCATTCAATAATGCTTCCAATTCCGCGTCTTCGTACACTTTCAGCCTTCCGCTACGTTCTTTGTCTTCGACGTCAAATTCACCGTTCTTAAATTTTTGAAACCATTCATGACAACTTCTCTCACTTAAGGCAGCCTCACCATCGATTGCTTCTACAAGCAATCGATGAGCCTCAGTTGCAGATTTCTTTAAATTAAAGAAGTAAATCAAAAGTTCCCGCAAATGACGCTTATTCGGCTCAAAACTCGGCATTTTCGCACAAAAAAAAATATATGATGCTGATACAAAATCGCTAGTATTTCAAGGTTATGTTGTTGACAGATGTCCAACCTTGCGATATAATGTTTTATATCAGACAATTTTAACCATAGCTTGCTAGTGGCGGCGTCTTTTGTCAAACGGCGGAAACTTATTTGTACACCTAATAATTAAATGCTGGCGAATTCAATCAATGATGGCGAATTCAAAATAGCCTAATTCAAAATGTTTATGCTTGATTAAAGTTATATAAATGTACTTCATATAATAAGATGAACGACGGCTATCTTTCGACGTTTTCTATTGCGCATTATTAAAGTAGGATTAAAAAAAAATTAAATTAAAAGAAATTCTAAAAAAAATGGTGGTACTAGACAGCTGGTAATTATTTGTTTCATCACTATCATTCAAATCGCTTGCTTCATCACCACCATTGATCGAGATTCAATTTATTTTCTTTTCTATTCCACTTACGTATATGTATTACTCATATGTAGAAAAATAAAAAAATTTTTTTTTAAATTACGAAAAAAGTGTCATTTAAACCCATTTTCAGAGCCGATTATAGTAGATTTTAACTCCATTCTCCTAACAAATATCAAATTTTCCAAGCAAATAATATTAATAGTATTCATTTTAGTTAGGAAGAAGGATATAACTCCTAACCATTACTTTTTCAAAACTAATTAGACATGTGGGTAACTTCCCTTGTTAAAAAAAAATTAAGTTTTAAAAAATTAAGTAAATTATGTAAAAGAATTGCTCATATATATGTTTATGAATGTTCATAGATGTTTATGTATGTTTATGTATATATTTATGTATATATTTCTGCATAAGAAATTTTTTATTGGTTGCTGTTTTTCAACGTATTTCATTGTAGAATTGCAGAAAATATAAGTTGAATAGCCTGAATTTTGATCATTTCTTACGATTAGAATACTATTAAAATTAAATTAATAGGGTTGAAGTTTGCTTGACATTCTTGTTTGCAGATAAAATAAATATACGTTTACAAACTGCTCTAGTTTCGAATCATCAGTAGTCTCCTAAATTGTTCCATAATTTAATCTCCTAAATCGCACGTTGCCTAATATTTTTACATTTGTCTTTGCGTTTATATGTAAGTTTAATATTTTATCAATGATTATTATTTATTATATACGTCCGTTTAATTCGGATCAAATAATTTGTCATAGATAACTTGATAATTATAATGAAAATACGCTTGGACATCATAATTTCCTTACATCTACATTACAAGACACGACCATATGTCGCACAATTCGTTTTATTAATTTCAATTTTTAAGATGATCAAGAATTTTTAATTGAATGAATTGTATTTTAATGATTGTTTTGCGACATTAAGACGGATCTGCAGTTAAGATCGAAACGTCTATTGTATATTATGTATTAATTATAATATGTATTAATAAATGTATTCATTACATACGTATGTATATCCAGTGTTTGGCTCTCAAGCATTATCAGTCTTTGATTTTTATATTTCTTACATTTTTATTCTATTTATTATTATGTAAAAATGTCTATATAAATTTAATGAAGTGTTTATTTTGTTTCACAGAAACTCAAATTATTTCCTGAAATTATCATGTGTTTTGGAAATTATGAAAAATATATTCTAGAGTTTTTAATAGCATAATAAAATATAATTTTTCTCTTTTCTTATGTAAAAGTTATTTTCCACATTATAACGTTTTAAATAAGGAATTTCAGTAGGGTGCAATTTAGATAACTTCCTTTTTATCAAAATCTTATCATACTGAAAAAATTCTTTAAAACATTAAAATAATGTAAAAAAATTATGAAAAAATTACATTAAAAAAGGGTAGTTTGTTATGCTATAAAAAGTTTAAAAATATTCTTCATAATTTCTGAGTTACAAGCTTTTATGTGAAAAGTTATGACTTCGACAATCTCTTGTCCTATATATCTTTTAATTTTAATATTTTAAGATTTTTCTTAGAATATTGTAAGTACATTAATAATAATATCACTATACATGGTGACATAAGAAGGGCCATCTTTATGCAATAACATGAATATGATTTCTTGATTAAAAGCTGTGAAATAATTTAATGTATCGAGTTCTTGAAGTTCGTGACATATGTAACAGTCAGATCTTTGGAACTTTTTCAAGCAGAGACGCAATCGGACCACGTTCACACCTCAACAGCTTCAAGAATTGGAATCTCTTTTCCAGAAAACGCATTATCCCGATGTTTTTCTCAGAGAGGAAGTCGCACTTCGGATATCACTCTCGGAAGCACGTGTTCAGGTGAATCTTCTTTGCAATCATTTCATTGTTTTATTGATTTCACTTAGTTTTTTAAGTGGCTTTTCTGTTTTCACTTAAAAAAACTTTTGCTAACAATTACGTAAATCTACTTAATATCAATTACATTACAGATTTTACTACAATTGTTTATTGATAAACAAAATACACTGTATAAAAAAAAACTAATAAGTAAATTAGAAAGTAAATTAAAAAGAATTTAAATGAAAAAAGAAATTTAAATAAAAACATTTTATTTAAAATTTATATTTTTACTAAAAATTTGTATTCTTTAATTTCTTAATAAAATTTTATCTAAAATATTTTTTTCTAAATTAAAAATTTCTTTTGAAGAACAATTTTATTAATCAATAAAAAGTTTTGGTTTACATCGTTTTGAGATTACGATAAATTCAAATATTTTTACTTCCTCTACTTGTCAGAAA